TACACCACAAGCCATACTGTATGCTGGGGCTGGCTTAGAGGTACCTTCTTCTGATTAGGCAGCTTGTGTGTAGAAAGAAAATATTTATAGAATTTATAACCCAATCCAGTGGAGAGATGTGAAAACTAGATATATTCAGCCTAGAATTCCAAAAGATTTTTTACAATATGGGTAGCCAACTGTTGAAGAAATATGCCTAGCATAGATTTTGGATAGTTCTGTACCTCTGGCTTTCATTACAGATTGGATGGCTTTCTTGGTACAAAGCTGACACACTACTGTTTGTCTGGAGACATATTTTTTGAGGATGAGGGTCTAGATTCAATATTATCCCCAGAATCAGATTAGAAAAGCATAGGTTTCTTTCTCTCCCCTCCCCCTGCCCCTGACCTTTAGATGTATAACTACATATCGCTATATATAAACACAGTAATAGTTTTGCCTTTTAAGTGAAGTACTTGTGAAGTACTTTAAAATCAGCAGCAGTAGCAGCATCAAATTGACATTAAGGATTGGTAGAACCACTATGAATTGCTGAATTATACAGGACTTCGAATAAAAAAGGAAGAGGTGAAGAGAATTTTTAAATAGATTAGACTTTACTTTTGTACCTTTGTAGATGTTATTCTCTTGAATGGATCATCAGTGTTACAGAATGTAGTTTGCTATGCAAAATTAAAGCTGCAGTGTATATTACTACATTTCTACTGGTAACTGGTCAATAGCTCTCATTTTTGTTTGCAGGATTTAACATCTGTTAAGTGTTTAAACATAAAATATTATAATTGGCATCTGAGTGAGGATACTGTTTCAGTTACTGAAACAAACACTTCTTAACTTTAGTTGTATAGACCATTTTTCACCTAAATAAATAATAAATAAATAAATAGATAGTAAATAAAGAAATAAATATATATATTTGAGCCCCAGGTGCTGGGAACAAAAATCCAGGTTGATGCAAACAGAGACCTGTCGGTGAAGGAAGAGTTGATATATGAACTGTTATAGGAGCTCGACCCCTACAAATCAACGTGCCCCAGCATTATACACCAAGGCTGTTAAGAGCTGGCTGTTATTTTTGTGAGGCCGTACTGTCTTCATAATCTTTGAGAAGTTGTGGTGATTCAGACATGTCCCAGAAGGCTGGAAGAAGGCAGATGTCACTTCTTTTACAAGAAGGGCTCAAAGGAGGATCTAGGAAATTACAGGCCCATCAGTCTTCAGTCCCTGGGAAAGTTATGGAATGAATTATCCTAGGGGGCTATCACAAGTCAAATGAAGCATAATGGGATAAGCCAACATGGATTCACATGGGGCAAATAGTCCTTGACAAACCTGATCACCTGCTATGACAAACTAACCTGCTCAGTTGATGTGGGTGGTGTACTGGATGTCGTCTACCTGGAGTTCAAGGTTTTGATACAGTTTCCCACAGCCTCTTCCTGCGTTGCAGTCTAGACAAGTGGTCTGTGTGGTGAGTGGGGAACTGGCTGACCACTGCACAAGTTACTCTTGGGAGATCCCAACTGGAGAAGAGGTAAATTTTTCACAATGAGGACAATCAGCCGTTAGAATAATTTCTTCAGGGAAGTGGTGTACTCTGCAACACTGGACACTGTTAAGATTCACCTGGACAGGGTCCTGGGCCATGTAGTCTAGATCACGCTTTGCCTAGACAGGTTGGACCAGATGATCCTTGGAGACTCTTCCAACCTGGTATTCTATGAAATAAAATTACTTCTATTGTTTTAATCACACAAAACAGGCGTGAAATTTGAGTTTAATGAGATGTCTGCAGTAGTTCATCATGTTTTTGAGGTAGGTTTTTGGTAACTGCTTTTATTCTTTCTGTTTAAGCATGCGACCCAACATCTTCTTGGGGATTAGTGAAGGCTCTGCCCAATACAGAAAATGGTACTATGAACTTATGGTGGATCATCTAGAGCCTTTTGTGACTGCAGAATCAACTCATCTACGAGTGGGCTGGGCTTCAACAGAGGGCTACTCACCATATCCAGGGGGAGGAGCAGAATGGGGAGGAAATGGTGTTGGTGATGACTTGTATTCATATGGCTTCGATGGTCTGCATCTGTGGTCAGGTATTCTGTTTTGGGTTTTGTTTGGTTTGGTTGTGATTTTTGGGGTGTGTGGTGTTGTTTGTTTGTTTTTTTTGGTGGTTGTTTTTTTCTGTTGGTTTGGTCTGGGGTTGTTTCTTTTTTTTAATGCTAGAACATTGTTTGTGATTCTGGTGGATTTGTTTACAACATTAGCAAAGGGAATCAGATTTTTTGGTTGACACTAGCAATACACGGAAATAGTAATGCAGATAGACTAATAATTTATTCAGTAAATATTCCTTATTTCAACCTGGGAATGAGTTTTATTTAAAACTTCAAAGGTGCAAACAATGAAGCAAGGCAATCAGTTGCCCGTATTTGTAATTCGTGTGTGATAGTCCAAAACTAGACTGAGATTTCATTCACAGGAGACTTTTTTTTAATTTTTCTCCTTTTTTTTTCCCCCATACAAAAAATATTTTAATATGGATCTTTAGTGTAGGAGGTTAGAAATACTTTAGAGGTGAAGAAGATTTTTAAGTATGCTTTTTGCCATACAGTTTAAAATCAGATATTTTTCCACAGTGATGCTTTGTTTACATACATTAAGACTGACTGTATTACAAAACTTGCTGAGTCATGTTCCTAGCATGCATATAGCGTGTTTGGTCAGATATTCATTTTTAAAATGTTATTGATGCACCCTGGATCTATTCATTAATAGTAATTTCTGTATGCAAATTCTAGAGTTAAAGGAAGCTGAACTGAGTATTTAAATTATTTTTATTTACTGTTGATGCTGTAAATATCTTATTCTCTCAGCAAAATCAGAAAAATAAGACATCTTTGTCACTTATTTCAACTTTTTGTGAAAAGATTCTCAGGTAGAATGGGTTGTCTTACACTTGGACATTCCTAAACTTCTTGAACAAAGTTTCTAGCATGGTTTCACCTGGTTGAGAAAAGATTTTTTCCTTTGGTTTTCAGAGATAACTGGGCAGTGGTGGACTGTAGAACAGATAGGAAACTGAGTTAGGCCCATTGGATTGGCAGTTGTTGCCACTATGAAGATATGAGCGTTTTCTAAACTTGCAGACAAGAGAGAGAGCTGTATGTATCATTCAAGGTCTTTGAAGTTTTGAGGCATTGTGGCTTGGTACTTGGAAATGAATAAAGTTTTACATTTCAAAAGAATTTTCCAATCAAAATGGTGATTGTTTGTATTACTAAATAATAACATATCGACTGGAGTGGCATTTTAGGAAAGTAGCTGCCAGTTTGCCTGTCATGTACAGAGAGAATTACTTTGGAACAATGGTGTATAATTAATGGTGCCATTAAAGCTGTGTCATAACCCAGTTTGCCACAGAAAGTGTTATTACGGAAGAATTAGAAAATAATGAGCCAACTGAAATAAGTTTTGTAGATAGTGTCCCTTTTAGGGACGAAACAAAAGATTACTGAAAATCTAAATTATTTTTCTACCACGGAAACTTTTTAATCAGAAAGGCTTGCTTTTCCCCATGTTTTTTGCACCTTCTGCTTCATAAACTCCAGCTCTAGTTAGAGGAAGTTAAACTGTAAGCAATACAAATACAAAAGAATAAATGAACAAATGTTTGTGGTTTACAAGACTGTAATCCAGCCCAGGCAAAAAATTCAGACTCTTAATCTCAGGGTCGTGGGTTCGAGCCCCACGTTGGGCGCCAAAAAGAAACTGTCGTGGTTCAAGCCCAGCCGGCAACTTGGAACCACGCAGCCGCTCGCTCACTCCCCCCCTTTTCCTTCCTCCCCCCGCTCCCGGAGGGATGGGGAGGAGAATTGGAGGAATGTAACTCCCACGAGTTGAGATAACAGCTCTCCAGTAACTAAGGTATAATACAAATCACTACTGCTACCAATAATAATGATAAGAGGAATAACAAGGGAAAAGGACACAACCGCGCACCACCCGCCGACCGATACCCAGCCCGACCCGAGCAGCGATCTGGGCCTTCCGGGTAACTCCCCCCAGTTTCTATACTGGGCATGACGTGCTGTGGTATGGAATACCCCTTTGGCCAGTTTGGGTCAGGTGTCCTGTCTCTGCTTCCTCCTGGCTTCCCCTCCTCTCTGGCAAAGCATGAGACTGAGAAAGTCCTTGGTCAGAGTAAACATTACTTAGCAACAACTAAAAACATCGGTGTTATCAGCGTTGTTCCCAGACTGAAAGTCAAAACCACAGCACTGCACCAGCTACTAAGAAGGAGAAAAAATGACTGCTGTAGCTGAACCCAGGACACCACCTTAGTATATGCGATTTTTGTATATTAATTTCTGTTGTGAATGTGGCTGGTAGATCCAAAAAGTTTTCTGTCTTCATTGACATTCTAGTGTAAGACATACCTCTCAAACTCAGAAGGACTTCAAGTAGCTGAGTGCTGAAAGTCATGGCCATGCCATGTTTTTCTTCCACAATCCCCTTGGTCAGTCTTTGCAATGACATTTCAAAAATTAATCTTCTGAACATGAAGCATTTACTGCATTAATTAATTGAAACAATGATTTCTACTTCAGAGTTTCTGTTTTGTGCTGAGACTTTACCAGAATCCCATTTATTTCTTCAGTCCTTCAATTACTTCTCTAAAATGGGAAAATGGAATTCATAGTTTTTTAAGCCTAAGGCCAGAAAAGGTACTCAGATAATCTGGTCTGCTGCATGTTCATCAAAGACCAGTACTTGTTTCTGTTAACAGTTAGCCTTGCACTGATCCCAATAACCTATATTTGGTTAAATTTTAATGGGTAAACAGGCATTTAATCTCAAGTCGTACATCTTGAGGAGATGAAGTATCTACTCTTTTTTGATAACTTTTAGATTTTAATTATCCCTGACATTAAATGGTTGTCCCTTTTGGTGATTTATTTGCTACTCTTCTTTCTCAGCAGTACTTTATATAGATTTCTCAATTTGTGAGGAACCCTTAGGATTATTCTGTCATTCCACTGTCTGCTCATAGATCTGACAATTCTTAATTATTTCTTCTGTCTTGTAAGGGTATAGGGAAGAAGCAAGGGCATCAGAAAACTTTTTTTCCCCAGCTATACTGCTGACTGCCCTATCAAGAGGGACAGATTGCACAAGAGCACCTGTCCTACAGTCTGCAGTTTATATGGCAGTATCAGGTAGTAGTTTTCTATGTGTCGAGTATTAGCAGTGATGGCTTTTAGTTTTCCTCGAGGTCGGGGTTGGTGTGTGTATGAAAATCTATCTGCAGAAGAATTACTGAGATTTTCCATATTTTTTATGCTGTTAAAAACATATGCTATCTTCATACTCTTGGAAATACAGTGCTTTTAAGTTAAGTCCTTCATGTTTATAGAAGTTAGACAGCATAGTTAAAGCGATAGTGCTCTATTCTTAACATGCATTATGGTTTATATCTTGTAGGCATTGTATATGTTATTTTTGGAAAACATATGTCTGGAAATATTTTCATACAACTGTCATGCTTTTCCATAATTTTTTTTTTTTTGTAGATGGCAGTAAATTTCAGAGAAATTTTCTATTTTTGTATTCTATAGATTATTTCTTTGGAAGTAGATGCGATTGTGTAAATGTAATTTGATGCAAGAGAGAATGGTCCTTTAGGAATCATACAAAACTTTTTAAGTAAAAAATACATGTTACTGAATATAAATGCCTCAAAATTGCTGTCTTTGTATATGCCAGAAAAATGCTGGGTTGCAGTTTGATTCTGAAAGTGAGTAGTATCACCTTACACAAGTTTGCAAGGGTACTATGATGTGGCCCTTAGTACCTTTCTTCTCCTACATAATTTCCAGTTTGATACTTGTCATTATATTTAATAATGAAGCATTCTTTACTAAAGTATGCTAGGTTTCATATTAAATACTAACAATTGCTTTTAAATTTGCATTTCTAGTATTGCAAGGAGTAAAATTTAGTTTTCTTGATTTCGATTGTTTATATGGGTATCAGCAATTATTTCATTTAAATGTGACTTAATTGTATTATTTATGATTAAAATAGCTTTGTAGATATGATTGTACATTTATTCACTATAATGCAAGGTTAAAATCAAGTCTTGGATGTTATAGGTTAGATTTTTATGTATTAACGTGTTTGTGTTCTGTTGCTGTGTTTTCTTTCTCTTTTTTTAGGCTGCTATGAAAATCTGTACAATTTTCAGAAGTTTTGCTAAATGTGTTTCCTTCCACAGGTTGTGTAGCACGAACAGTAAATTCTCCCAACCAACATCTGTTAAGAACTGACGATGTTATTAGCTGTTGTTTGGACCTAAGTGCCCCCAGCATCTCCTTCCGGATAAATGGTCAGCCAGTTCAAGGAATGTTTGAGAATTTCAACATAGATGGCCTCTTCTTCCCAGTTGTCAGCTTTTCTGCAGGAATAAAGTTAGCATCCCATTTAGTTTTTGTATTTTTTTTCCCCCTCCCAGTCTAATTATTATTATTTTTTTAAATGTATATGTGAAATACTGGATAATTCCCTGGCTGTCTGCTTTCATTTCCCTTTCTGACATCTGCTTCTTTGGCACAGTTCCAATTCTTGGATAGTGGGAGGTAAAAAGGAGTACTGAAGAGACAGTGCATCAGTTGTATTTCAGCACACCAGTGTATTCAGGTGGTTTGCAAATAGACCTTAGAAACAGCTTCTTTAGTGTTTCTTAGCTGACATGTTGCTACACATTCACTCCAGGACAGCATTTTACCTATATGAGAAGAAAAACATCAGCCTTTGATATTAAAAATACATTGGCTCTAATTCACTTGTTATGAGGTACTAACTATGAATTGAAGATGCATTATTGGCACTTACCTTAAGAAATGGTGGTGGTATACTTTCTTTACAGCAGGATGAGTTAATATGAATTCAGTCAATCTGTATTCTGGTTGCTTTACTAGTTTTCTGTAAAAGTTCAAGTCACACGTGAGTTGCCAGGCTTCTGCTTCCAGATATTGAAGAGTTTGAGACTATAATATTAAAATGGATTCTGTGATGCTTCAGTGGGGTGATCAACTTCAGCAGCACTGGCAGAGGTAAAGGATGATAGCTGATTTCTGTTGGAGGCAGAGCAATGCTTTTTGAGGGATCAAAGACCATGATGGATACTAAAGAAGCTAAGAGCTGTCACACAGATGGCATGACAGCCTCTCATTGCAGATGCAAAATGTACTTGAGACTTTGCCTAGGATAATACAGGAGATATAATGTGGAAAAATAAAGACATGCATGCTGCAAAATGCAAAACTATAAAGCTGCATGTTTTATCTCTGTCATGAGAGAAAAATCTGACACATATTATTTGTGTGCCGAATGTGGTTTTAGAGAGTGTTCTGGTACAGCATTGACAAAAATCTTATAAGATACTCAGTAAAGAGAAGAGAGACAAAATAATTCTGTGTTAAGAATAGGGGTTTGGGGTTTTTTTTTTATTCCTTCTGGATGGCAATGTTCTGAATAAAAAATTTCAGTATTATGATATTGCTTCATAATCACCTTCATTCATCGAATTTTTCAGTAGCAAAACCCCATGACAAAGTCACCATTTTGTAATAGTAAAAGACCCTAAGGTTTTGATATTTTTTGAACATTCGAATAAAACACCCTGGGTTTCTACTAGCATGAAAAGTATAAATCTTAGGGAAGGAGATACAGGAGTATTGTCTCCTGAAGATTTCATGTTCTGTGAGGGAAAAGAAAGAACCATGGAGGCTCATTTCTCAAATGAGAGAGAATGGAGAACTCCTCAAAAGAGAGAGGTCAGAGGTGGTTGATGGATTACCTTGGGTTATAACTTCTGCCTTCTGACGCTCAAAAGGCTGCATCTTACTTCCTAGGTGTGCTAAGTACGCTGATGATTCTTTCTCTCCATGTCTTCTCTTTTGTTCTTGTGATTTAGAGTACTTTTATGGAAGTGGAAATTAACTAGAAGAAAGATTTGCTTTTTCCCATGTTTCCCCATGTATTTTGCATCTCCTACTTCATAAACTCCAGCTCTAGTTAGAGGAAGTTATACTGCATAGAGGAAGTAAGCACTGCATAGAAGCTGCATCACTGAATTTTTTTTTCATCCATTTTTTATAAATAACATTGAATAGCTCATAAACTGATTAGGTTTGACACAAGAGGTGTCTCAGTTATCTAAACTAACTGTTTTTTCAGGGTACGTTTCTTGCTTGGAGGTCGCCACGGAGAGTTCAAGTTCCTTCCTCCACCTGGATATGCCCCTTGCTTTGAAGCTGTCCTACCGAAAGAGAAGCTGAAAGTGGAGCAAAGCCGAGAATATAAGCAGGATCGTAGCTATACACGAGATCTACTAGGTCCCACTATTTCTCTGTCACAAGCAGCTTTCACTCCAGTTCCTGTAGATACCAGCCAGGTATGGAAACAGAAAGATTGCATTTTCATTTTTAAACAGTTATTATAAGCCTGTGTTATTTCACATTTGATTGAATTTGCAGCTTGTCTCAAACTTGTTTTTTCTTGGGATTTGGTTGGTATGTTCCAATGTGAGAAGCTGATAAATGATGCATTAAGTCCTTATAGTGCTCACTAGATGTTTCATATTCAGTTCACAAACACTATAAAAAAGAATGCTTTATCCTTAATATTAGAGTAGCTAAAAAAGATTATTCAAACTTCTTGTTCTGTTACTAGATACTTTTATTACTGTTTAAGTACACTTTCTGAAGACTGCATTGCGATTTTTATACAAGCTTCAGCTCTAATTCTTTACTGGATGTGCAGGTTAATGAGAGTGGTAGTTGGCACTTGGCTCACTGCGGCAATAAATGGTAAATGGCATGCACTGAAGTATAGTTTGGTGGTTTGTTTTTTTTTTTTGTCTATTTGTTTTTTGTTGGGGTTTTTTGGTTGTTTTTTTTTATTTTTTCCAAAAGCAGAGTTTGAGATGAAACAAATTTTTAAACGCTGTGTGCTCAGATTTTACCGTATGTAGGAACTAATTCCTGAAAAAAAAACCCACATAAAAAAAGAATAAACCTGGTAGTTTGTTGCTATTATGAACTAAATACATCATTCTACATGTCTCATGTAATTATTGTTCTGTAACACCCATGATTAGGGTAACATTATCATGATTCACAGCACTGTGTATTTCAGGTCTCTGATTTTTGAGGTGAAGAAGACTATTTCAAATTTTGGACGCAGAGTGATGTACTGTCCTGATTTCAATAGTCACCTGTCATCATAATCTGATATTTTAATTTTTTTTTTTTGGTGGGATTCACTTTTCAAATGTCTGTATTTGTCTGAAGTGTTTTACACAACATTACCTTGGTCATTGAGATTTTTAGCTTTTTTAAACTGGGAAATAGTATCGGTTTGAGTAGTTTCTAGCCAGCTGCCAGGAATATGTTCCGTGCCATTTGGAGGTGCTAGAGTTAAAGCTGGTTTTCCTTGCTGGTCAAACTTTGGAACTTATAAGTTCTATTGATCTAAGAATTCTCACTCACTTTAGTAAGAACTAAATGATAATTTAGGTTTAGTTGAGAAATCTGGTTTATCATGAAGTTTGTCATGAAAATTTGAGTGGAACTGCCAAGCAACTTACATGTAATGACCTCTTTCTCTCTTCTCTCTCTAGATTGTTTTGCCTCCCCACCTGGAAAGGATTAGAGAAAAATTAGCAGAGAACATCCATGAACTTTGGGTTATGAATAAGATTGAACTTGGCTGGCAGTATGGACCAGTATGTACCTTTCAACTAAATTTTCTGTTAATTACCTAATATTATTCAACACATTGGTTTGAATGTTATAATGGGACCACATTTTTTAACATCCTTCTAAAATTAGTAAGGTTTTAGACCCTTTCCACCAGAAGTAGGTAGAAACCATCAGTGCTTGGGTATTTTTGAACCAATACTCTGGTATTCAAGCTGTTTGGTGTTGAAATTTTCAGTGCCTTTAAGTGCCAGTGCAGAAGGCACATGCTAGGTCTTTCACCTTCTGTTTGTTCTTGGGACAAGAAGTTTAGTATTCTGGTGGAGTAAACTAACGAAAGCAGTTATTCCTGGTTCTCTTCACATGTACTGGCTGACATAACTTTTTTCAGAAGTCCCAAACTTATTTTTTGGAAAAAATAAGTATTGGTTATAGGAAATCCCATTCAATGTGCTTTTCTCCTTCAGTCTCTCCACTTCAGGCTTATGTCTGTATTAAGTGCTTCAAATAACTGTTTTCTTATCTGTTTCCTACTTTCCATGGCATATGACAAAATAAAAGAATACAAAATACTGTTTTGTTGATGAGATTTCTTTTTTTAATTAATCATAAAAAAGTTGTAAAGCCCAGTTATTTCAATCCCAAATGATGTTGTTTATGAAGAACTGTGAGGAGTATATGGAAACATACAGTAGATACTAGATGTAACGCACATATAGAAACATACATGCATTCTATTTTTGTTATTAAAAAGAGTTTGGTCTTCCAAGGAGTTCAGATTGCAGATTTAAGGTAACTGGGAATAGGTAATATGTTTGGTGTAGCATAACAGCAGTACTTAAAAGGATTTACTTAACAGACAAGATCTCTAGATTTTGTTGTTGTTGTTGCTTTCCCCACCAAATCAGACACAAAACCACAAAAATTATTGTGTCAAAACATTTTAATTGTGTTATAATCGTACCAGCTGCAAAGTAAACTGCAGGAACTTTTAGTGTAGATTCTTACCATGAAGAATCTAATTGTACAGTTGAACACTATTTTACTTTAAAAAACACATAGCAAATATCAAGTTAAGCAGTGATAAATGTAGTGGTTGTATTCAGAATGAATCTTTTAAGTTACTTAGTTTTCTTTATCTAGCTTATATTCTGTGGTTGGATGTGCTCACTTTGGAAAAGCCCTATCAAATGAAGACAGATTTTCCCTGGAGACTGTAAACAGTTTTCAATCCAAAACATAAGCAAATGACTGCTGTTCAATTTGAAATTATGTGCTTTTCTGTGAAATTTTATGCCAGCTTACATACTACTGACTTTCTTATCCTTTTTAATATTAGATCTGATTCTGTATATAAGCAACAGATCCAGCTGTTGAGAGCAGATTATACACACTTCAGTGGTACCACTTCATTGAGAATTCCTGCCTTGGTCTTTTTTCAGCTAAAATAAGTTAAAGACAATCCTATATTCACCAAACGAGTAAAGATCCATTTAGAAAAAGTGTAACAGTTAGGCTTCTTAACTTCAACCTTCAACTGTTACCATTCTATTTTCCTGCAGAATTATCTGATTGATTAAAAATTGTCAGTAATGTTATTTTTCAGTAAATTTCAGCTTTAAAGATTCATAAAAATGGTGAGCTTATGGTCCATGGAAGATGGACAGAAAAGTGCTGTAATATAGGGAAAAAATGTGGTCTTGACTGAGCAAATGTTAACAATTTCATTGTGATCTTTTAGCTAATATTTGCAAACTAAGGTTTTTTATCAAGTCTTCTAGCAAGACTTAGTCTTTGTAGATTTTGTTGACTGACATCTAGCATGGTAAAGATGCAAAGCTGAGAGCAGTAGAATGCTGTTATCCCAGCCTTTCAGGTTGTGCTTCCTAGTTCCAGCCAGTATTAGACTAAAACTGTATAGAAGTAGTGCAGGATAAAAATGTTTTTGATCAAAGTTTTAAATTTATTAAATGTAGGATTTTGTAAATTATAGTTTTCAAGACTCTGCAGTACAGTAGAATTAACGTTTCAATCTTTGTGACTGCTGAACAGATTCATTCTGCTTGTATACTACTGGACATAACTAAGAAACAAACAAGAGATAGGGTGGATTTATCTTCTATATTGTTACTTTTGTTGGGTAAAGACTTCAGTACTACTCATACCAATATATTTATACAAACTGGATGAATAATTTTTCAAACATGATGCTAAAGATGAGCTGTTATTTTATGGCTGTATGTCAAAACATAACATAGATTGCACTATTCTTGAACTTTTCATATTTGTTGTGAACATCAGGATAATGAAATGTACTAATTAGCATTTATTCCACTTGAGATCTGCAAATCTGAAGTTTATTTGCAAATGCCAATTCTGCCTTACTTGAACAGGATGATCATGCTCTGAGAATACAGAATACTTTGTGGTTTGAAGTGTTGTTCAGTTTGAGTAATTCTGACAGCTTTAGGTACTTTGTGTTTTGGACTGGTTTTTAAATTTTTTCTAGTTTTTAAGACACATTAAACTTACTTCTTTACTGTCTTTTCAGGTTAGAGATGACAACAAAAGACAACACCCATGCTTAGTGGAGTTCTCAAAATTGCCAGAGCAGGAAAGAAATTATAACTTGCAAATGTCACTTGAAACACTGAAGTAAGTTTCTAGAACTTTTGAAGCTTATACAGAGAGTTTCCTAAGGAGTTGCAGTTTCCAGAATTATAGTTTGACATATGAATTACAATTTGACATGTAGGTGAGAGTAATAATGCGAAAATGAGGGAGTGAGATACATTAATGTATGATGTATTTGGCATTGAAAAATGGCTTCGAAATTCTTTCTAATATCTATGGAATTTTAGAATTATTGTGGTAATGCTGATTATGAAATGGCAACTCAGAAAGTTTTCATCTAGTTTTGAGAAAAGAAATAGATTCCAGCTTTTGAAAAAAATATCTTCTTACTTGGTTTAATTTAATTTAGTTTAATCGCTTTTAATTTTCTTCGTTAGTAAAGCACACTTTTACAGTCAAAAGGTGGGGTTTTTTTTGATGTAACTAATGATGAGCTTTGCTTCAGGACCCCTTGCTGCTACTTCTGTGTTATTTCCTGTGAAAATATAATTGCTTTTTTCCTGTTCAGAGCATTAACCATGGATGACTGTCTGTATGTGATATTACTTTCCTGGGAATATTAGTACTATGTTATTAAAAAAACCCCCAACATATAAGCTATGATACAGTGTTTTCACTCATAATATAAAGATTCTATTTCCTCATAGTAGAAAGTTATGTAGAACACTCCTAGAATTTCTTGTAGTGTTCTCTGGTCAGCTTCTCTGTGCATTTCCATAGAAAACATATTTATGACCCTAAATGTTGAACAGTTTCTGAAGGGATATTTTGGCATTATATAGAGATAAAGCATTCAGAGATAAATAGAACTCATTTGGAGGCAAGAAAGTAAACTTATATTTGTCTTCAGCTAGATATTGGCATTTCAAGGAAAGCTTCTGAGACCCCTGTCAGCACGGCAATGTGCTAAGAATACAGAATTGCTTCTTCCCTAATGATACCACAGAAGGTATCATTAACTTTCTCCACTTTTGGATCTTTTGCTAGAATAGTCTATCTAATATGCTGTAGGGATCATAAAAATTATACTCTCAGAATTAAATGCACACTCCTAATGTTTCACTAAATATTAAAAAAAAATAAATTAGTAGATCTTATACAATTACTGGTTCAGGACCCAATGCTTTTCTGATCTAACCTAGGCGAAACATTGTACTGGATTTGTAAACATATAAATTATTGATTACATGTATTTTAGTAATTGTATTACTTACTCTAGAGAGCACCTTTTCATTAAACAAATAGAATCTAGAACATAAAGCATTCAGTCTTTCTACAGGTTTCAAAAATTGTATGCTTACTGAGCTCAGACTTCATGACGTTCTTGCATTAGTCCTTGTTTTCTGAAGTATGCAGTTCCAGTCTTGCAATATCATATTGTATTTATCACATACACATCTATTGTTCAGGGGCTAGAATATGTGTCCCAATCAGTTCATTTCTGAAAGCTTGCAAAGGAGGAAAAATCAGTGCAGTGATCCATTCTGTGATGAAGTGAATTGTAAGCTACTTTGACTATTTCTTTACCAGATGTTTCTAGTCTACTGGCAGTCAACCTCAATGGGGGAGAATGAGGAAGAGAGAAAGAAAGTGTTCTTTTACAACTTCCTCTAGTCAGCTAAATGCTATATTCTTTACAATTTGCATCAAACTGTGTATTGCATACTTGAAGTAGTTGCAAGACACCAAGAGTAACTTGTATGGTAATTGTGGGATTTTTTGTTGGTTTGTTGCCAGTTTTGCTGCCAGCTCTACTAGATGAGAGGCAGAAAACAAGGACATTCTGAGTCATATTATTGGACACAGCATTTCTTTTCAATATATTATCTCTGTATGTTTTGCAGTATGATTGAATACTTTTATGAGCTATAAAAATGGTATAGTATACGAAATGTCAAAATTCAGGAATTAGTTACCTCTGAAAATGTCATGCTTGCTCATACTGTTTCTGCATGTTCTTACATCTATTTTGTAGTTTGATCTTGGGTTTTTTTTGGTGCTTACTGTTGTGACTGACTTTCCTGTTTCTACCTATTTACTAAGTTATGTGTGATAATTACAAGTATCAACATTCTGCCAAGGAGTGCATTCAGACACTTCTCTGGTTTTCTTGTTTATGTTTGAAGTGTCTTAGGGGTCTTTGAGTTTATACCAGTATGGTATGCCTTCTTATCCTCCTGTGGCTTTCTGATGTGAATTTGCTGCGTATGGGTGGAGATAATGTAGGATTCAAATTCCTGTTTTACATTACAAGAATATTAGAGTTACCAGGGGTTAGCTCCTCTGTACTGCTTTCCACTGTTAGATACGTTCTCTTATGCTGGTGATAACTGCATAGGAATCATGTACAGTTTTTGCCAATTGAAATTTAGCTGCATGTAGTATTCTTAGCAGATAATATAGAGGTGGCCACTGCACGTTGATTTCCTCATATCTGATTTTACTGCCTAATTTTAAATCACAGCTCAGAGGCTATAACTCTAGGGTTTACTTCATGTAGCTAGCACTAAAAATATGCTGTAAGAAACTCCTGAAACATACAATTCGTCTGCCAAGAGAGATACTGCTAGAGCAATATTTATGTTCTTTTTTCCCTCAGTCAGTTCAAGAGCAGTAAATATAGTTAAAGCAAGGCTTGAAAATACCGTTTTAACTAGTGAAAAGAACAAATAAACCCCTTGTTTTCCAGCTTTCTTCCACATTGGGAACATTGGGAATGGAGTCCAACATTTATACTTGTGATTTTTTTCTGCATTTATCAGTTTCAATCAAATATATGGATGTCACCCTCAGATTCTGAGAAGCTTCTGATTGGACTCCAGACTGATCTCTGACTTTTGTCTAGCATCTTCATTTCAGTGACAGTAATTTAGTAATGCACCTAGGGTAAAGAAGCTAAGACCTGATAACTCAATATTGAACATAAATGCAGGAACAAATAATTAATGAGTTACAGATAAAATTCTGGAGGCAAATGAGACTTAAGATTCATACTTCTGTATAGTGTGAGTGTAAGGAAAGGAAGAATTCTGAAGTATTCTGAAGCCTGATTAATGTAGCAACACTCTTGTAGGGTTATGTAGAGAGTCTTTTGAGAGTGTTGTCAGGAATCTGCAGGTGCACAAGTCCATGCGACGTGATAAGATGAATAAATGGATCCTGAGGGAAGCAGTAGATGGAGTGGACAAGCCACTGTCCATCATGCTCAAGAAGTTGTGGCAGTCCAGTGAAGTTCCCACTGACTAGAAAATGTGAAACATAACCCTCATTTTTAAAAAGGGAAATAAAGGAAGACCCAGGTGAATGCATGCCACTCATGGAACAGATCCTCCTGCAAACTATGCCATGGCACTTGTAAAATAAAGAGATGATGGGTGACAGTGAACATGGCTTCACAAAGGGCAAATCATGCCTAACAAATTCATTGGCCTTTTATGATGGGGCAACAGCATTGGTGGATGAGGGAAGAGAACTGACATCATCTACCTAGACTTCTGCAAAGTATGTCACGCTGTCCTGCGTGGCATCATTGTCTCTAAACTGGAGGGACATGGACCACTTGGTGGACAAGGAATGGGCTGGATGGTCCCACTCAGAATTGCAGTCAACAGCTCAATGTCCAAGTGGAAACCAGTGACAAGTGGCGTTCTGCCAGACTCAGTATTGGGACTGGTGCTGTTTAACATCTTTGTTGGTGACATGGACAGTCGGATTGGGTGCACGCTCAGCAGGTTTGCCAGTGACACTGAGCTATATGGTGTGATTGACAACTGGAGGTTGTCATCCAGAGGTCATGTGAGAACCTCGTGAAGTTCAGCAAGGCCAAGTTGGTCCTGCACTTGGGTCGGGGCAATCCCAGAGGCAGGCTGGGGAGAGAGCAGCCCTGAGCAGAACATGGGGTCGTTGGTCAGTCAGAACCTCAACATGACCTGGTAGTATGTGTTTACGACCCAGAAAGACAACCTAGTCCTGGACTGCACCAAAAGAAGTGTGACCAGCAGGTCTAGGGAGATGATTCTCCTCCTCTCTCTATTACACTCTCGTGAGACCCCACCTGTATCCATTGCTCGGGCCCCGAAAATAAGAAGGCTGTGGACCTGTTGGAGCAAGTCCAGAGTTGGGCCATGAGGATGATCAGGGGGCTGGAGCACCTCTCCTATGAAGGCAGGCTGAGAGAGTTGGGCTTGTTCAGCCTGGAGAAGAGAAGGCTCTGGTGAGACCTTACAGCAGCCTTCCAGTGTCTAAAAAGGGCCTACAGGAAATTTGGAGAGGAACTTCTTACAAGGGCATGTAGTGATACGACAAAGGGAAATTGTTTTAAGATAGAAGAGGGTAGATTCAGATTAGATATTAGAAAAAAAATCTTTACTATGAGAGTGGTGAGGCAGTGGAACAGGCTGCCCAGAGTACTTGTGGATGCCCTATCCCTCAAATTATTCAAGGCCAGGTTGGATGGGATTTTTAGCAACCTGGTCTATGGAAGGTGTTGGAATTAGATGGGGTGTAACTAGATGAGTTTTAAGGTCCCTTCCAACCCAAACCATTCTAGGATTCTATGATTTGTTTTTTGAAATGAGCTGCATCTTGCAGAGTTAGGCCAGAATAGGCTGCTTGGGTCAGAGGCTCTGTGGTCTAAGTCTTGTGGTACAAGACACACTATGTCTACCTTGAATCCTTTTTTCTGAAAAGGATTAATGTGCAACATCCATACCAAGCATTAAGACGGCAATTTTGGCCTCCTTATCATGCATTCTACTGTCAGTCCTTTCTCCCGTCATGACTTAACAAAATCCACTTAAAATCTCTGAATAACAGCTTCTCTTTGTAAAGAAGACGCTTTCTAAGGATAACAAGTAACATTTCCTGCCTTTTCTGTTTGCATCATCTTTGAAGTAAACAACATAAGATAAAAAGATTTTGATATAGAACAGTATGAATAAGTTTTATAAGGCAGAAATGTTTCAAGGGCAAGGGAATCTTTCAACTGCTGCCACTTACAGATGCAATAAACTGTATGATAGTTCCATTTTGAAGTAGTCCACTCGTAGTTTTACTAAAATATTTAGGAACATCTTGTGTCATTTTCTTAACACTGTCAGAAAGCTTATTACATATAAAAAAAGGCTGGTGTTGATCTTTCTATGTTACACTTCTGTCATTCCAATAGGTCTCATTTGTTGTGTAGTGCTATTTATATACACAGCAGCAACTCTGAAAATAGAAACATTGGCAGTAATTTATCTCTGATTTTTGTGTCCTAGAACCCTGCTGGCATTAGGCTGCCATGTTGGCATTGCTGATGAACATGCTGAAGAAAAAGTGAAAAAAATGAAGCTTCCAAAGAAGTAAGTTGAAATTCAGAAGCATCTTTTTGCTAGGCAGTGTGAGTTAAGCAAACTGTATTTTAACAATATTTATAATGCTAGTTTTATTGGTATTTGGGTATGCATGTATGCATACATATTTTCAGAAACTTACACAAACCTTCATCCACCCCTTTTCTTTTAGATGCTTACATTCTGATGTGTAGACAAAGTTTAGGTTTTCTGTGATTCATTGAAATATTGTTACATAGTTCTTTTATACATACGTATTAAGATGAGGCCCGCAGAGATACTGAGCAATGTGAGGGCAGTAAGATACTGATGAGCAGATGAACAGGGAGGAGCTGGGATTTTAACTACGTGTTTCAACTAGTAGCTTCAGCCTGCAGCTAAAGACAAGTCTCCAACATGAATTTGTACACACAATATGCTTTTGTTATTTTCCTTAGTATCGATTGATACTTATCGTTGAGTATTCATTTGCATCCCAAAATACAATATGCACATCCTTTGTGAATAAATTTAGAGCATCCTTTGAGACCCCTGGTTCTTTGACCTTACTGTTCTATTGAAACAGCTGTGGCTATTATAGCTTTTACATGCACAATGTAACACTTGTGCAAGAGACTGTGACAGGAAAGAACACAGTAATTGCCAGCTTGACAGACATGTTAATTCTGTTGATTCGCTATTTCCATTACTGTCTGGTTTTACTCATCTCAGTGAAGAGACTTCACAGCTACCTGAGCAGAGAGAACCATGAGGGCAGTTAGCTGGCACGTGGGAGACAGCAGCACAACTGCCAACTGCTTGCTTAATTCAGTAACAGAAATTTGCCAACTGGTAACTATATGAATGGTTGACTTTTGGACTGATGTTCTTGAACTGTTGTTTTTAAACTTTATATTTTAATGTGGTGATTTTGAGGGAAGGTCCAACCTCATGGTTATAGATGATAATCCCCCTTAAATGCTTGCTTGTTTTCAGTTATTGTTTTCAATCAATAATTCGTTTAAATGGGTTTTAGAATAGTTATCTTGGAAGAAAATTAAGTAAGATTTGTAAAGTATTTGAATATTTTAGAATATAAATGGGGATAAATGCTGTTTCTTTTTTCTGGATTTCTCCCTGTCAGTCCAAATAAAGAAAATACAAGAAAATGACAAAGTTGTACAGAAATATACAATTATTTAAACTAGCAATTCTTCAAACAACCCAGCACATATAATTGCAGTGAGAGAATGTTGTTGTTTATTTTCTACAGACCCCTTTCTTTATGACCAAAATAGCTCTTTGTTTTGTCAGTGTGTTTGAGGAGAAATACTCTGGGATATGCTGGGCACGTCCACTGGCTCCAGCATGGTCTCTTCTGGGGCTGCAGGGAAGCACCAGCTCTGGCACTTGGAGCACCTCCATTCCCCCTGCCACCAGCCTTGGTGTGTGCCAGATGGTTTTTCACACCTTCCCCTCACTCCCCTCTGCCTGTGCAGGATTTTTCAGTTTCTTACAATTTTTTTCCCAGAGATGCCGCCAGTGTGGTTGAAGGGTTCAGCTTTGGCCAGTGGCAGGTCCCTTTTGGAGGTGGCTGTGTCCGGCAGAGGGCAACTCTGGCCTCTCCTCACAGAGGCCTCCCTGTAGCACCCCCGCACCAGCACCTGGGCACAGAGACCCAGTACAGCCCCTGGATATCTGCCCCACCCCTGCTTTCCTTTTCCTGCTTCCCTTCCCCTGCACCTTCCTTCATCAGTGTCCACTGCCGTGGTGGTGACACTTAATGTCATAGGTTTTTGTTGTAAATTTAGTAAGTCCTGATGTGCTGCATCCCTCATCACATGCATTATGTCCTTTATCGAGGAAGGTTTGGTTGTAAGTAAAGTGGGATATTACCATAATTCGGTGGGAACAACTTCATAAAAGTAAACACTTTGTTCTTAAGAGTGCTAAAAATAGTGAGGAAGTGGTCTCTCTGTTCTAAGTCATGCTTAAATTTCAAACGTTTACTTCTATAATTTGAAGGATTGTTAGGGTATGAAGTATTATGAGGACAAATTTTATTACATGGAATTCTTAGGTGATCATGAGTAAGCCATTTGGCCTATTGTGTCTCTCACATCCTTATATATATTTTCTTGCTTCAGTAGGAGATAGATAGAATTTATGTAAGTATTGTGAAGTGCTCAGAGGTGAACTAAATAGTGTTTTTAAAGTATTTAGATAAACGACATCTTAATCTACTATTTTAAATATGTGAAAGTACTAATACTTTAAATATGTTTTTAGTTCAGACCATTTTGGGTAGCTTTAATTCCCAGCTACTTCATTCTGTTGAGCTTGAAACAAAATCATATGTCAGTACATTATTATTATTATTATTAATGTTCAAAGACAGATTTATATAGATAGATTACATATATGTCACTTCTTTCCTTTGCAGTTTCTATTAATTTAAATTTATTTTATAATTATGATAAATTAATTTTTTTATAATCTTATTAAATTTAAATTAATTTTATTAATTTAACAAGTTCTGTGTTTTTTGACAGCTACCAGTTGTTGAGTGGATATAAGCCTGCTCCCATGGATCTGAGTTTTATCAAGCTGACTCCCTCTCAAGAAGCTATGGTAGATAAATTAGCAGAGAATGCACACAATGTGTGGGCAAGGGACCGTATAAGGCAAGGCTGGACGTATGGTATCCAGCAGGTAAGTGCTAACTTCACTCACTTGAAAAAACACTTCTCTCTTGAGATATTTCACAGTTAAATGGGAATAATGGAGATACAAAGGCAAGAAGCAGCAGCTAATGGAGTCTGTCAGTCAAAGAAAGGAAAAATACATAATTAAAGCAATCCTGCTAAATCTTTCAGCAGTCTGAGACACTTCTACAAGCAGTATTAAAAAATTGGTGCTATATTCTTGTATGCTGTCTGGATCTCAGGGTGAGAAAATTGAATGCAGGAAGCTAATATGCTCTAGTATTTTAAGAAAGGTAAACATTGACTTTCAGTAGGGAAGTAATTTAAATGTTTGCAGTCCTGGGAATTGAATAATTTTGTTTATCCAGGAAAATCAGAATGTGAACTTCTAGTAATCACTTTGCTAATGTGCTGTATTTCTGGCAGAGGCCATATTTAACTGTGAATAGTTAAGTTAGTCTCCAAGTTCCGGTCCTACTTTAGTGGCTTTGTTTCAGTGAGTAGAAATGCCATGTGGTAGGTGTCACAATGTGTTATAAGGGAAGGGAGTAAAAATTAAGCATGGTCGATTGTTAACAGTGAAACTCAGGATCTTGGTTTTCTTAAAAATAAAACACCAATCGGTTTACAATGAGCCTAATTATATATTATTTTTCAAGACAGATACTATATCAGTTTTCCCCTAGGAGTCATATTTTGTCTTCTTTTTGTGATGATTTTTAAATTTGTTGTAGAGAAAGGTGTCTTCACTTCTATTAATAAATGTGTGGTAGCATATCACAGTGACATTTTAGGAAAATTCACCTCTTGGGAACAAAAACATGTTTTCATGGTTCTGTGCTGGGCATAAAAGGTCATTAATTTGCAAAAATGAGTAACAGCTGTTTAGTAGGTACATACTTTCCTGCCTACAAAACAGTGGCTTGGTTTTTGACAGAAATTCTAGTTACACAGTTCAGCACATTTCAAATTCTGCTTTTTTTATAAAACCAAAATTCATTCTACTTGCAAAACTTCTGTATATAAAAAAAATATGTTTTTATAGATATATTAAGTTAGGCACTTTTGCATACTGCAAAGTACATTTATGTGACAAAATATATGCCGCATAGCGTTTCAGCATTGTCCATTGTAGTATCTTATTATAAAGCTCTCACTGTGGTACTTTGTAAATTATTTAGGAAATCCATGCTCCATATTTGGGTCTAGGAAGACAATGAGACAATTCTTTTTTTTTTTTTTTTCAGACTGGAATGCATGTAATATCCCTTACTAGATTGACACTAAATATATGTCAGTACTAGTGCAACTCCCCTGCTTACAACAGGATTAAATTTTCCCCTCATGCTGCACCTTTGAGTAAGGGAAGGTAGCCCTTGGAAGTATTGTTAACATTTTTGGTAGAATATTAATCATGAGAAGTGTCAGAAGTGATGATTATCTGTTGTCAGGTAGGTCATGCAGATTAATTCATTTCAATCCCACTATTTCAATCCTTTGTTTATGGACTTAGTACACAATTCATTTCTAGAATAAGAGTCTGCATAGATGCTCAAAAGAGACAGTTCTGATATATTAAAGAATGCATGCAATGATTTACGCCATGCCTTCCATATTTTTTATTTTCCCAGAAGCCAAACACTCTCAATGCAGGTTCTTGCCAATCAGGAGATGTGAAATGAATGAAATTTGGGAAATGGTTACAGCTTTGATAGAACTCTGACATATCCCAAAATTAAATTTAGTTTTGCAACAGAATTTATTGGTTAAAGTGTAGTTAAGAAGTTTCTGGAATCAAATGCATCTCATCTAATTATATTTCTAGCTTGCGCTGGGAAAATTTAAACCCACAACTCATATGTAGTAAAGTTTCTTAGATCTTGAAGACAATTTAATGTATCCTGTATATCTGTATATCTTTTGGGGAAAAAACCCCAACCAAACCCACAAATAATTTTGTCCTATTTATTGGAGTGAATTTGCAGTTAAATTTCATGTCTTCTGAATTAGATATTAAGTAAGAAAGGCAGTTAAATGATGCTGTCAAAGATTTTTTCAGGGTTACTGTATTGGGAATGATAAGAAACAGAGGTAGTAGTAGTGGGTGGCAAAGAAAAGAAGTTTCTCCTTTACATCTCCACAATGTGCTTATACACTGTCTTTTATGTATGCTTTAATGTGCCTGCTGACATAGATGGCTCTGTTTTTTAAGAGGTGTGGTGTGAGAGTAATAAATCATTAGTTTTTATTATGGTTCCCAAAAAGCAGTGGAGTTGCCTCAGGCCACAAGTTTGGTTTAAAAAAATTAAATAAGAATATTGATTAAACAAACCTAGTATGGGATGTAACCTAAAATTAAACACTTCAACTTAATGTTGGAAGAATCATGAAGTTTGTCTTATGTTCTTGGTGCTGTGCCTGGGGAAAGACCTTGCTGTTGAATCTAAAACGGTGTGGCCTTGTGAAGAGACAGTTTTGAGATTCACTAAGAGAAAAAGAGGAGGACCCTGTGATCTACTTACTAAATAACTATTTCATCTACTAACCCTTAAAATACTGTCATGAGGGCCTTGAAAATCAGGCCTTCCCTAGACTTCCTTCTTAATATATGCCCTGCTTGCTGGGTGACAAAGCTCAACATTATAAGTGAACTCAAATTTGTGTTCATTTATTAGAATTTCTAGTCTGGTGTGAGAAAACTTGTGGAAGATACAGGTATAGTTTTAAACCCCTTAGTCTAGTAATTCTTGAACTGAGCATTACCCTTCTTCCACAAAGGTGTCTGACTGGACAATTAGAAATTAAGTATCTAAATCCATTTTGTTGGCCAAATACAAGTTACTGTATCAAGAGGTTATCACTATCACTTAGATTTGCTATGTTTTAAAATAAACTAGGTGGCACCTGGTTAGGTTTTCGGAGATACTTTTTTCAGTCAGTGGGAATAGCACTCTGATTTTGATTACCAGGTTGTCCTCTGAAAGAGACTTCAACAAATGTTTCTGCTTCAAATCTTAACTGGGCTTAGTTATGATCTGTACTGAACTGTTCTTGTTCTTTCTTACTAAAACAAATATGGCCATGCAAAGAAGGATCTGGAGAATTTAAAAGTAAACAGCTGATGTGCCTGATCACGCTAAGAAGCTGATCACAATGAGAGTTGGAAAGCCACTTAAATCACTGTTTTTCAGTCTTCGATGCTTCTGCTTTAAGATTCCAAACATTTTATTAGGCCTGATTCATCCAAATTGACTGGAGACTTTTCTGTGCTGAGTAGAGCAGTGTAGTTGAGCATGTTAGACAGTGGCGCAGTGAACAGCATCACGGTTACGCTTTCAACAGAGGACAGTTGTTAAAAATCACCAAGAGCTCAGAAATACTAATGACCTTCAGGAAAGAGATCAACAAAATCAGCAGTATATTTTACTCCTCTTATTTTTGGAAGACAAAATTACAGTAGCCTAATGTATGGTTATACAGGTAGATGATGTCCTTGAAAACTTTCCCACCAATACCATGTGTTCTAAAAGCTGCCATGCCTGGGGTGTTGATGTTGATATCCTCTTAATTCAATTATTTCTCTCTTTTCAAATAATTAAGATTATTTTCTTCCGGAGAGAAGACAGACAACTGAGTTCCAAGAGTGCTTACAGTTTGCAGATAACAACTACCAATCACTAAAAGTCAAAAGAAGAGAGCAGAATAGCAAGGCGCTCCTTTCTGGATGCGATGCAAAGATGCTTCTCATTTAGCTGACATACGTATCACAGGGCAAGCTGCTAGCTGTTATACACACTGCTATGTGCTTCTGCTTAACTTCAACAGTGGGTTTGTTTTGTGGGCTACATTTTGTCATTCCATTATATTATTGAGACATGTTACAGTACTGTAATAGAGTGACATGATGTTATGCTGTATAATACTATAAGCAGATCTTGCAGAGCTACGAAGTACTTTCCTAAGGGAAAAAAGCTTACAGATGTTTGAAAGCAGATGAACTAATCATTGGGAAATGTGTAAACATACTTCCCAACTGTTAAACAGCAATCTTGCTGTGGCTGTAGGATGGATTAGGTGGCCTCGTAGGTCTGTCCCATCATAAGTACCACATACTTTCATGATTATATCATATGAAAAATTAAAGGGATACTGTCAGTAGTTCATGTATACACCATTTCTTAACCATTACAAACTGATTATGCCTTTCAAGTTCCAGATTATTTTTCTTCTAAATCCACTACTGCTCTTTGTGCCTGATTATACACAGTATTTTTGTCCTGCTGCTGCAGAGCCAACCAGGCAGCCAGCAGAGGGAGCACAAGTTAATTAATAAATACAGTTCCCAGAACTGTGATGACACTGATCACGAACAAGTATTTTTTAGTAGTACAGACGTGCAGTAGCTTACTGCTCCATGAAAGGAGCAGAAGGGAAAAAAAAACCAACAAACCAAAACCCAAAAAACAAACCAGGTAGGAAGAATACATATTCCTGCTTAAAAGGATGTTTTAAAGAGTAAGAATAAGTGGAAAACCAAGCACACAATCAGTATGAAAATACTTGACACTGTCCCTTTAAGGGAGACTGTGGCTGCCTGCAGGTTGGTCTTCTCTGAACTGGGGAAATGGTAAATTCTCAAAGGCACAAATGGAAATAGATCCAGGCAGAAGACCAATATAACCTTCATGTAAGTCAATTAAAATAATCACATTTGTGCAATGAGGGAGGGCTTGCTTCCCTCCCCCCCACCCCCGTACAGATTTTCGTAGAATCATAGAATAGTTCGGGTTGGAAGGGACCTTGAAAAGTCATCTGGTCCAACCCCCCTTTGGCATATGTCCTATTATAATTACCTCACTTATTTGCTTGGGTATTCTTGGCAAATTTCTCATAACAAGCTGATTGAAATATAGCATAGAAGTATAAAAGGATGCATGTGTGACTAAATCCTCACAAATGAATGGAAAATATTCGGAACTCATGCAAGTTTATGCATGAACCTACAGGACTGGGTGACAACCTAAAATGTTCTTCCCACTGTGTGAAGAGCATCTTAAAAAAGGTGTTCTGCACTTCCTGTTCTAGGATTAGTCAGGACTGTGAAGCAGTTACTGAGTCTGACTTCTCTTTGGCCTAAAATGCTAGACAGTTTGGCCTTTTTAAGTAGGGATTTTTTTTTTTTTTTTTAAATATATTTTTGTAGAAAGCATATGACATCCCTATTTGATCAAGAGTTGGTCTTCTTAGACTGCCTAGTGCTGCAGTGCAAGAGAGATACTATTCTGTAGATTCACACCGAGGAGATATGGATGTACTGGAAAAATCACAAGTTGAAAGCTTGTCACTTACCTTGTCACTTAATATACCAAAACTGGTATCTTGTCCTTGTATAAACTACTTATGTTACCTCACTCTCACATTTTACATTATTTATACTGATGTGTTAGTTCCATTTATAGACAGGGAGCATTCTGCCAGGCATTCCATATGGGTGTGGTCCTTAGTGAAGGTGGTGCAAGCTCTGCGCATGTTTCGAAGGACACACGTACTTCAAAGGACAGAACTCAACTGCTAGTATGCCAGGTTAGGAACGCAGCTTCCACTTCGGGTGGATACATTTAGGGTATATTTTTAACATTGCCAAAAATATGGTTTCATGAGTACTTTATCGTGCTTTCCAGTTCTGATGACTCTGCAATCTTGAAATTATTTACTTAGTAAATAGCAATTTATAATTATATTTTTTCCTTTTTCCCTTACAAAATAATTTTTATTTTTAATGGTTTATGGTTAAACATGAGCTGCCATGATAAATACAGAAAAGTTAGACCTCTGGATAACAAGATACGAAATGTGTGGTGTTAGTAAATTATCACAGTGTATATAATATGCGGCACACTTGCGTGGTGGCTCACTGAGTGGGTTTCTGACAGCACTGCTGGCAAGCTCACCAGTAGCATTTGTTGTGGCAGTTACTCAGAAATCTTTGTGGAAGACTGCAAGACCCACAGACATGGCAGCAAGCAGAATCAAGTCACAGCTGTGGAATGAATGTTTTCTAATGGTACAAACGAAGCTAGGAGAACAACAGCATCTCTGCCTCACTGAATATGTGCTGAAACACATTTGCTTTGTGCTTGTCATTTAACAGCCTTGGTTATGAGAATAAAATAATTTCAATACCACACAGTATGTGTATCTATACAGTTCTAACAGTTAAAATCACAAAACTTATCCCATTAAATTATCATGTTTCTCCTGTACTCTTTCTAGTCTGTGGTTTTATTTTTCAGTCTTTTCCTGTCTTTGTTATGTTTATGTATGTTTCTGGTGTCTTGTTCCTTTTAATCTGGTGATCTGTGCTGTTCCTGAACTTCTCAGAGCTTTGGGAAGGCTCGGGAGTGTACAGGTTTGCAGTGTCACATTTACAGCTCTTGAAACTATACTATTCATTATCATTTCAGATGTCTTTTAGAGGTTTATATGAGGTTTTATTTTTTTGTTACTGTTTTACTTCTGAAGAGTAAAACTTTATTGCACATGCTGTATCTCTTAATAGGTTCTTCTTTCAGAGCTGCTTATAGAATTTGGCTGTGGTTTTCTATGCTGCTGTAGACAGTATGGACACTTTTCTTTTTTCATTCTTACTCTTACATAGCATCTGTCTATGCAGTTTGCAAGACCAGTTGCTAGGTCCAGTGCACTACATCAGTAATCTACACGTCACATACTAAATGAATGAATGCAGTTCTACACCTCTCAGCTCTCAGTGTGTTTCCTTTGTGAATTATTTTGCAGCAGTGTTCATTACCTGTAATCAAAATTTTAAAAGGCTTGTTGATATTTGTTGTTTTGGGTGCTTAATTATTTTTTCTGTAGGTCTTTTCTATTGCTTTCAAGAGCTTTATTCAGTTACTGCTGTTGTTGACCAATTATCACTTATTTCAAATCCATTTATACCTTACAAATAAGTATGCGTGCACCAGTTGAATTGATTCTTTGTCTATCATTTACTGTTAATAGCAAAATCTGTAGTGTACACTGTATAAGGTAATACTGACTTCATGGTCAGTGTTACATCACTCCAGTTTAACATAATTTATTAATTCTTTCTATTTATAGTCAGGGCACATTCTGCCAGGAATTCCCACTTTTCATGGTTGCAGTGCTTTCTTTTAATTAAGTAACTCCAAATTGAATTCTAAATGACTAATCCAGTGTTTGTGTTATGTTATATGAACACAAAGTTGTATAATAAGATATGTAGGCTTTTTTATCTTTTTTTTTTTTTCCCCTGTGATACGGTAGGTTCTGAATTCAAAACCAAAGAATTATATAAACGTCATGTGTGCTACCCAGCTCAAGCCATTTGAAATGGAATCTTGTTGACAAGCTCAAATTTTTCATCTATGAAGACATGTGTTTTTCTTTTGTTTTCAAATGATATGGTGAACAAGTAGTTGCCAGCCAAACTCCATATGCAGTCTTCCGATGAAGCATTAGACTGACAAACTAGGAAAATTCTGGAAAAAAAATTAAAAACAGCCTGATTTTTCCTTCTTTTAGTAGTCTACACTACAAAACAATATATTTTCCATACTGAACACGAAGAATTAAGTCTATGTGCACATTGCAAATGTACTCAATAAAAATTACCGCTCTTAGCTAATCAATTTTCTTGTTGACTTGATTGTGACTGTGCAAAGCTCAATCACTGTATAGGATCATTCTCTTGATTAGCTACACTTAAACTACAGAGTTGCAGAAGATCATTAGTACAAAAACTTAGGATGAGTATAAGAATAACAGTTCTTAATTCAGTAATAAGTAAAACATTAAAAAATTAGATAGACATACCCTACAAAAAAAAGAGCAAAATTATTAAAATAAAAATTCCTTCTCCTATTAATATTTAAAGGAATAGCCAAATGAGAAAAAGGTCACAATACTGAATAAAATTAAACCCAAGGAAAACACTGTAAAATTGGGTTTGCTTAATATTTATGATTTCTTTGTCTTTCAGGTTTTTTTCTCACTCAGATTTTGTGCTTAGGCATTTTTAAAAGTACTTATACTATATTTCATTATCATACACTGTTATCAGCTGATTGCCTGTATGTTAATGTATGTTAATGGTTGCCATGGCAATTACCAGTGCGTTAGTCTAACTGAATATCATGGACAAGAAGTTACATAATTGTTGCTTGAAACTTCTGTTTCATATTTTTAACCACAGTATTCTGTAATATCTTTTGGATATACAGTGTTTCAGAGGAAATTATTTCTCTTTTTACGTGCTTTCCATCACAAATAATTAAAGCCATGGTGTTTCATTTCTTACGTTAATGACAATATTCTTAGATCAAAAAATAATTCCTTGTAACATTTACTGCAACATCTGTTAGGTCCATTCTGTTCTGGAAGCAGGCTTTTTCCACATTTACCAAATAAAATATTGGAAAAAGGGGATGTCAGTTTCAGTGTTTTGGAATAAATATGGAAAGTAGTCCTTTCAAATGGTCCTTGTGTTGGCCCTGTCACTGCCCTTCTCACTAACTATAACTAGAGTTGACATGGTGTAGTAATTTTTGTCCCAGCAATGCATTATCTTTATTTTTATGTTAGTCATTTTAGCATATAGGTAATGCTTGTCCTGTAATATTTCTTTTTGTAGAATGATCATTGGTGGGACCAGATTTCATCAAGCCCTAATTAATAACTGCACTTTAATATTTACTCACCATGATAAGGCAAAAGGCAGGTAGCCTTTAATCTAAGCATTTAAAGGACAACAAAATATGCCTGCAAGTATTTGTCAGAATAGACATGCCATTTCTTTCCTTCTGGTAAAGGTAGAATGAAAACCACATACATTCTTAAAAGTATAACTCTAATGCTATAAAAGAAATAAGATATTGTCACTGTAGGCACTGCTTTCTAAAGTAATAGGCACTATTTTTGCCCTTCTTAATAAGTCTGACCAATAATCAAAGCCTCTCAATATCTTTGGTATATGTACCCAAGAGAACAAAGACCAAGTATTTCATTATATGTCCAGACTTTAATTTTTATTTTTGTTTTTTAATAAGATGTCAGGAAGAACATAGAGAGTTCTTTGTATGGTTTCTCTCACTGCCAACAAATGCTGACAAGATGTGAGAATAAAATGCAGACAAAAACCCCAATTCTGTTAGTCAATAAAATTATGTTAGGTGTTTAAATAATCTAGTCAAACAGTGCTTTCAAATAATTTCATTTTGCGCTACAGTAGAACCTAATCAATGTTGTGTTAATAAACCGAAAATACACAGATCAAACCGTATCAACATGTAAATTTCAGCTGGAAAAGAGGTTACATTAATTTACCTATTACAAAAATTCTGCACATTAAGTGCACATTCTTACCATTACCCTTTATTTTGGAAAAATGTATTTCAAATATTTGACATAGTAAAGCACGGGTTTATTATCTTTTTCATTATTTTTCACATATTAATATTTTTACTAGCAGCGTTTATTAATTTGGTTTTATCTTATTTATTAGGGGTTTTATATATACTGTTTAGTGCTATACTTAAAAACCATATATATTTGCAGTACAGAAGTCTCTGTAGTCTCTAGTTATGTACTTGTTACTTCTTACAGTAGCTGCTTTATAAACACTGTAGAAAATACAATCTGTTAGACTTTTCAGTCAAACTCTTTGCATTTATCCCTGTTCTTGTTGTTTGTATTATTCTCCTGTTAAGTAAATTTGATGGCAAATCGAAGCAGCTATAAGCCACAGAGTTTCGTTTATTTGTGTATTACTTTCCGTTGTTATGACTTTCTAGACTATTGCAGTATCTTTGAATCCTTGCTGTATTTTCAGTTCCATGATTTCTGTTGGTATAAATAGCTACTGCTACTGTAGCACAATTTTGTTTTTAAGACAAAGCATAATTTCTGAAATTGAATTGATTTTTCATACTTACACAGGATGTGAAAAATCGACGAAATCCTCGCCTTGTACCTTACGCTCTTTTAGATGATCGAACAAAGAAGTCAAACAAAGACAGTCTTCGAGAAGCAGTCCGCACCCTTCTAGGCTATGGTTACAACCTGGAAGCTCCTGATCAAGATCATGGTGATTAATTTTGCTCTTCTTTTTCTCTCTCCTTCTCTCCCTTTCACATAAGATTAATTAATGTTAAAAGCTTAAGCAGTTTAAATCAGGATTGTGAATACTACAAGACACAGCCCTGAAACACAGTAAATCAGGAAAACGTTTATCATCTTGCTTAATGTATGATCTTATGCCAGGGAATAAAATACATGGTTGCATTCTATACATGTATATTGTATCGATATATTGATTAATGAATGATTATTTTTCTTGCTTTATATAGTGATAGTATTGTTAAATTTTGGACCTATTTAAACCATAGACCTTCAGTAAAGCATTTCTTCAGATCTGACTCATACCCAACATGTACAGAGGGTACCTGGCATTTTCAATTCTTTTCTGAAGCACGTACCTACTCTGATCCGTAGCTTTTTGAGAGGCTGCTAGTAAATTACACTTTGAATCTAAGTTATCACTGATACTATGAATGTTTAAAAAGGCTGGATTGCTAAATGGGCAAAACAATGTTTTCTAGTGGACTAGGTTGTGTTGGTGGCAAAATGCCATGTCTTACTGTTAAATCTGCCTATGCCTAGTCTGGAGAGTTTAAAGCTGACACATAATCTCTTAATTTCTTCCCTCCCATTGTGGGAAGGAGATGCTGTGCAGAGTAAGTGAGCATCTCTTCTGCTTGGTTCTGGGAAGGTGGGTTTGCTGGTATAAGAAGGTTTTGCCTCTTATGAAGATAATGGGGCTGTCTAGTGGTGTTGGGTGAGAGGGAGACAAAGCACACTCATTGCCTACAATCTCTTCCAAATCCCACTGAATAGTATTAATCCTGTTTCCTCATTTACAGCTCTGAGAAACATATGCCCCCCTGCCTTTCCTTTGGAATAAACTGCTGGAAAAATTTGATCTTTTCCTTACAATGCAGAGATCCTTGAGCTAGTTCTGAGCATAGAGTTACTAATGAAATGTAAAGAACACAATTTCAATCCTTGCATTTGAAAGGTGTCATCAATCCTGTTGAAAAATTCCCAGACGAAAGGACTTGCAGAACATAGTCCCACAAACTGGCTTTTCTTAAAGACTGGAATTGCATTCAGCAAAAGGTTTTTATACTCACTTTAAGGGTTTAGATTTCACAATTTATGACCCTCTCAAGTTTTTCAGATGCATAAAACATGTCTGTCAAGGTTTACCCCCAGCCGGCAATAACTGCCATGCAGCTACTCACTCTCCCTTGTCTTAGAAGAGAACATAAAAAGGCAAAACTGATAGGTTGAGATAAGAACAGTATAATACTTGAACTAAAGTTCAATGATTTAATACTAACAGTAAAAATAACAATAATTTTAATGAAAGGGAGAGAAAGAGGAATAAAACTAGAAACAAATGATGGACAATACAATTGCCTGCCTGCTGACTGACGCCCATCCCATCCCATTGTAGTGATTGTCCCCTTCCAGGTAACACCCACCCCCCCCCCCCCCCCACCCACACATCTGCGACCACGATGGTGTTTCTATACTGAGCATGATGTGCTGTGGTATGGACCATCCCTTTGGCTAGTTTAGGTCAGCTGTCCTGGCTCTACTCCCTCCCAGCTGCTCATGCCCCTCCTCACTGGCAGAGCATGAGAGACTGAAAAGTCCTTTACTAGGGTAAGCACTACTTGGCAACAACTAAAAACACCGGGGTTTTATCAGCATTATTCTCAGACTAAAGCCAAATCACAGCACTGTACCAGCTACTAGGTAGAAAAAAACTATAGAAGAAACGAAGAAAAGGAAGAAAAGTATATCCCTCTGAAACCAGGACAGTGTCAGGGGTCGTCTTTCAGCAGCCAAAATCTGTACTCTTATTAAAGGATTTAGAGCCCTCTAGTGGTGTTCTGCATCTGCATTCATTAATTTAATTTTAAACATTGATTTACAAAGCTCTAAAGCATCATTTTTATGCTTTATTAGTATTACTACTTACTGGCTTCCCACAGCAGCTTTACTTCTGGGGTTTCTTAGAATGTAGAAAGCATTAGGTTACTTAGAATCTAAAAAGACAACAAATTCTCGGTTTCCATGCTTTTTGGTAGTTTGTCTATATAGGTGAGGTATTAACGATCTTCAGAAGTGTTTTTAAGGCAATAATCATGTAGACCATCAAAAATAAAAATTTACTAGTAAAGAATTATATGGCAGAGAGTTCAGAGCTGTTTACAGGAAACTTAACGAGCCTGACCTAACTCAAGTCAAACATTTGGTGGCATGAAAAGTGAGAGTAAATTCTGAGGGATGTGACCTTATAGGCTATTCAAGATAATACTGGTAATGTGGACCCTCCCCCATGCCCCGCTAGATGAATTAGTGTAGTGTCATTTCTGAAAGGTACCCAAGTGTGCTGATTCCCCAGAATTAGCAAGGGTGCTTTCCCCATAAGGCTGTTCTGCAGGCACATTCTTCTTTTCATGCCTGTGCTCAAAGAGATTCCTTTGTTTTCACTGCCTTCATTTTGTCAGTTGTGTTTTTTTTCTTCACTTTTTAAAATTTTTTAAACCTTACAGCGATGAGACTGGATGTGTGCAGTGGGATAATGGAAAAATTCAGGATCTTCCGCACAGAAAAGACTTATTCCGTGAAGGCTGGGAAGTGGTACTTTGAGTTTGAGGCAGTTACTGCAGGAGACATGAGAGTTGGCTGGACCAGGCCAGGTTGTCTGCCAGATCAGGAACTAGGCTCAGATGAAGAAGCTTTTGTTTTCGATGGCTTTAAGGTTTGTATATGTTTGTCTATAATAATGTCAGTGATTGCAAAACTTTTAGTTTTGCATCTTATTTCATGTGTCAGTCTCTCAACATAATTGCTTTCTTTCTTTTGTGTTTTATAAATTTTTTTCTCTCTTTGAGGGTCTAGGTGGAATAAGGAGGATAAATTTCACCTGAAAATTAATTAGCAGGGTTTGGCATTTCTATTTTTTTCACAGCTTCACAGTGTTTGTGCAGTATATGTAAAGCACTGAAAATCTAAGTGGCTTACACAAATTCAATGTACTGACAGAGATGTAATTAACTATGAATCATTTCTTTAAATTTTTGCTTTGTTGTTCTCTCCATAAGAAGTGCCATTAGGGGAAGACATGGTTACAATTGTTAGCAGTAACAATTCGAGGCAAACTTCGTTATGTGATTTTTATAGGCATGTAGAAGTTATGAAGAGCATACCTTCATTTTCATAGAAATCCTTACAGTTTAGTGTAAATGAAGTATGATAGAAACAGTAATTTTTTTCTCCAGTTTAACTCTGCATGAGACAATGACAGATTGAAATGTAGTAGTGAAAATATATAGGAAAGCAAACTATGTGTTATTAATTTTAATCAGAATAGATTAAATGTCTCATTAAGCCCTTTTATTTCACTATGAAAGCAAGTGCAACTGCTATCCAAACCATAGTTGGTTTTAAGGCTACTGATGACTCAGGTCAAAATGTTTCTTGTATCTGATGCTGGAATTAGTTTTGTTTATTACTCTTCAAATATGTAATAGAAATCAAAAGTATTTCTGGCTATTCCTCATCAGATCAAGCTTTCAAGATGTTTTTTATTCATGCCGTTGGATTCTTTCCCAGTCTTGTATTACATGAGAAGATGCATTAAAATGAGAACTGAAAATTTGTTTTTGTAAAATATCTGATTTGCTTGAGTGAACTTTTCAAGTCCTGTGTCTTTACTAGAATAGCTATGTAGTATTTCGTCTTCTGAATCATAGGCTTTGAACTTTTTGTCTAAATCCAGAAAGCTATTTTGTTGTCTTTGATTTTAATCAATTCTCTCCTTGATTCTTCTTGATTGAAGAAAAGTTTTTGATCTTTGGGATACACAGATAGGCTCATCTGTTTTCTAGGATTCTCAGGATGGATACAGAGGCTAAAAATCTACTTGTGATGGAATACATGTATAGGGAACCTATTTGTTATTAACGCTGCTTCGTGTTATGCATGTTACAATAGTTCTTAGTAGATGTTTATTTATTTGAATTCCAATCCAAGACCCCATCCAAAGCCTTTGTAGTCTTTGACTTTTGAAGGTCAGCCATAGGAATCATTAATCATGCCCTCAGCTGTTCTGGAGTATGTCAGAAACTAAGAGTGCTTATTCCATCCACAGAAAATTCTGTTCATTCCAAAATCTGGTATGACAGGAAGTTTCATTTATTTTGTACACAACATTTTTAGAATTACACTTAAGGAAACATAGTCTATTTGTAAGCAGTGAATTTATAGGCTACTAGATTAAATAAAAGCAATTGCTTAAAAAAAGTTTGTGAAGCAGCTATTTAACGTTGTAATTGATAGCATATTATTTTCAGTACAAGTCTTTCATGGAGCTTCTGCAGAAAAATAAGCTATTCTCTTGTTACTAAAATGTTGAAATAGCAATTTTACCTGTCAGCTCACTGAGCAGCGTTTTACAATACCGGTGTGAGGGGTGTTTGCTGGAAGTTAATTGTTGGATTTCCATTTTCAAAGTCAACTTGGCGTACTCACAGACATTGTTTTGGAATGATCTCCTGTGAAAGTGTTAATTTAAGTGCCATCTTAATTGAGGGGGCTAATTTTTAGTTGTACCAGTAGGGGAGAGAGGAACACACACATCATCAATATTACTCTGAAATTCTTCTAAATCCTTTTCAGGCACAGCGGTGGCATCAAGGTAATGAGCATTTTGGCCGCTCATGGTTGGCAGGAGATGTTGTTGGGTGTATGGTTGACATGAATGAGCACACTATGATGTTCACCTTAAATGGTGAAATCCTGCTTGATGACTCGGGGTCAGAACTTGCATTCAAGGACTTTGAGGTTGGTGATGGTAAGTACTGTAATACAGCGTGTTGGCCATTTTTTGCTATCTTCCCTTTAACGTGGTGTGCTTCTTGTTTTGTGTTTTGTTGGGGTTTTTTTTTTTTTTTTTTTTTTTTTTTTTCCTCCTTGGTTTGGTTTTTGTTGTGGTTTTTTTTTTTTTGTTGTTGTTTTTTTTTTTTTTGTCTTCCCCTTTCCTCTCTCTAGGGAGCTACCCCTCATCCTTTTCTCTTCTTGGTTAGTATTAAGCCTTTGGAAAGGAGGTATGCTGGGTGTGAGGATGAGGCAAGGTCTTTTTCTGTGGTGAACTCGGAAGTCATCTTTTCTCATCAGACCTTTTCACTATTGTGCAGGGATGTGCCTGGGGTTGCGAATTCATGACCTTGAACATTGCATCTGTACTGCAGCAGGTCACTATTTGATATATCAGAATCATAGAATGAATCATAGACTGGTTTGGGTTTATGGGACCTTTGGATATTATCTGGTCCAACCCCTGCTGCCAAGGGCAAGGACATCAAATTTTATCTAGATCAAGTACTGAAGCAGTACCAAATTTCTGTCAAATTAGGGAGAACATATGGTAGAACATAAACCTTGAGCCAGCTTTAAGGTTATGTTTTAGCTCTGGGAGCAGAAATGACACCTGATCCAGGATAAATCCAGCTGGTGAAAATTTAGCCTCTTAAAGTTTTTACTTGTTTTTAAACCAGCAGGTTGAGTTTTGTACCTATTGTTGTACTGTTCTTGGTGCAGAGTCTATAAGCAGGTTTTAGTTTACCATGAAGCCATAGCTTATGAGATTGCAAAAGGTGGCAAAGATCGAGGTTGTGTCAGGTGCCAGATTGATTCTATATCACAAAAGTATTTTTGTTTATAAATTTAATTACATACTTGTGTGTGAATAAAAGGGTAAGCAATTACATTAATGTAGACAGCTGTCTAAAATTTCTGCTCTGTGGTAATGTAAAAAAAATATTTTAAGCTTTAATCTTTCCCTTTCATTTATCATAGGTACATATATCCTGTCATATTTATTATACATCTGTTAAATAATACATCTGTGTCTGAGAGAGAGGGTTCAATTTTTTTGAACAGTAAAAGCTGCAAGTGATACTTGTGAGTTACTGATCTTTATCCCCAGGGGAAATATGAATCCTATATCCATTAATTAGGCAGTTCCCTGCTTGAATTTTAACCACTTTATTTTTATGTGGATTTCAGAGTATTTTACTTCCAGGAGTGCTTTGGGAGAATAATATTTTTTTTTAATTATTTTTTTTTTTCTTTTTCTGCTGTATACCAAATTAGGAATTCTTCCCTGTGAGGGTGGTGAGGCACTGGAACAGGCTGCCCAGAGGTGTTGTGGCTGCTCCATTCTCAGAAGTATTCAAGGTCAGGTTGGACACAGGGGCTTGGAGAAACCTGCTCTAGTGGAAGGTGTCCCTGCCCGCGGCAGAGGGGTTAGAACAAGATGATCTTTAAGGTTTCTTCCAACCCAAACCATTCTGTGATTCTATGATTTTATTTAATTTAAAATCTAATTTTAAATTTTCATTTTAAATGAAATTAAAATGGAATTTGCCTGGAATCATGCCCATTGCTTTACTGCCTTCAGATTTCCTTAGATACTGTGATAACATGATGAGGTGACTTGGCTTTACCGTAGGTGGTATAGACGTAAGATCATCCTGGTGCCTTTAAATTATGATTGTTTTTCATTTATCAGACAGTATTGAGGAATGAGGGATTCTGAGAGAAACTGGAATTCCATGAAATTCTGAGAGTAGCCTGTTTGACCACTATTTTAATTTCAAAGTTCATGAAATCACAATGTAATTTTTGTGGTACTTGTTTCTAGCTGCAGGTTAAGAATTAAGCAGATCTCTGTTGAGTCTAAAACTGCTAAATTAGTTCCTGGTTTGACATGGATCCCCAAGGCCTTGGTATCCATGTCAAAGATTTAATGTCAGCATGAAGCCTCAGATTTTTTACAATATCCTTATAATTCACATTAAGATACTTTTGTCTTTGAAAAGAGCTTGCCTTTGGAATAAAATACCTTATTTTGTTTTCAAAGGAATGTGCTGATTTATCTCAGATTTAGTAACTCCCAATCAATACTTGTAAATACTACAGGTATCTCATATACCATTCATGGCAGGGGGACATCTATATGTATGTGTGTGTATATACAAACACATGTATGTAACACCCAAATTAAACATGACTTTTCTAGAGCTGTCACTCTTTTATAGTTTGGTTTTGTTAATGGCTTTTAAGAGCATTGAGATCTTTCTGCAGGTCACTTCTCTGTGAATTGTGTGCATGCCATGTAGTGCTGCAGAAAGAGACCTTTTGCTTTAGAAAAAAAAGATAGAGTTTCTGATTAGAGCCCAGTGTCTAGCTTTGAAGGACAGTCTGACTATAAATCAGTCCAGGAGTTTTCATTTACTTAGGAACAGTGTAAAGGGAATGTGGCACTCTGCAAGCTTTAAGGCTCATGTACTGTGTCTTAGGTTGTACTAACAACAAAAGAAGCTCTTTGGGATTATAGCAGACTAATTTGTGAGATACCATCTCAGTAGATTGTCAACCATAATTACATATTATTATACATCTGTGCAAGAGAAATTTCACACTGTAAATACAAACAAGTACACTTGTCTGTGATGTCTGTGAGCATGAACTGTTTGTAGTGAGTGACAAATTGCATCAGGAGGTTCATCTTATGTTCTTGGAAGTAGGGAATATTATAAAAAGTGTTGCTGTCCTATGCTTTTGCCACATGTGACAGACAATGTTAGAGAGTTACTTTTCTGATGGCAGTGATAAAGTCTTTCTACTTGGTTTTCTGTGTCATACAATAAAATGAAAGTTTTGCTACATAGGCCAGGTGTGCATGTGGAGACTAAGAGTCAGGTCATGGGTAAATCATAGAATCGTAGAATCAACTAGGTTGGAAAAGACCTTTAAGATCATAAAGCCCAACTGTTCCCCCAGGACTGCCAGGTCCACCCCTAAACCATGTCATCTTTTTATGCAGGCTCCAGCGTGCAAGGGCCAGGCAGGATCTCTGACATACCACATCTAAAATGGCTGGATACTCATTTAAAGAATGGTGATAAAAGTTAGTTTTTATTCTGTAGTAGGATGTGTAACTGCCTTACCAGCACACTACCTATAAGATGAGAAGCCGTACTTTTACCAGGAATGGAAATCCCCTGAAAGACCTTTATGACAACTATACCATTAGGAAATCAGTGCAGAATTTCACCAGAGACAAAAATAGTGCTTCCATGGTAAGGACTGGCACTGGTGTTTATATTTCATTCATATAGAGCAACAGTTACTGTATAATTACAAATACTTGCAGGTGTTAGCTACAGGTACAGTGCCATTCTGACATCAATTAAATTTGTATTAGTGAGAGAGATTGTGATCTTGATTCCATATTGGCTACAGTTGCAGGATTGATGGAGAATACTAGACTGAGTAAGGGCATCAGTGGAAGTTTTATCTGCGTAGGAATGTTTTTCTGGGTTTCTTTGTTTTCTTTCAGGCAATCTTGCAAACACCAATTTACATTTTATTTGTGTGCGTGTGTGAAATATTTGCTTCATGTCTAAGGATGAATCTGTGAGATCTTTTTTCCTGAGCCCAAAGGGAAAAGGCATAGGTAGGAGAATTAGCAGTTCCTGTGCATTCTATTTAGGAAGGGCAAATATTAGTAATACTTTAAATATTTTACATATTTTAAATATTCCTGTTTGATTTAGATTTTTGTCATGTATATATCTTAATCTTCATTAATAGAGTTGATCATCTTTTCTTGGATTTTGGACTGCATCTGATTATCTAATCAGCTCTTTCTATAATGTATGCTTACCAAATTCTGCTGATAACGTCAGCTGCTATTGCTTTTTTTGTTTTGTAAAACAATTATTTTGCACTTGATTTGAGGGCTGTAATAAAGAGGAACTGGCTATGTGTTAATTTCCAAGGTGCTGGAGATAGAGCTTGCTATTTCCTTACATGAAATACTTGACCTGTGCAGAAACACAAAACAACTGCTCATATACATAAATATAAAAATATATAAATAAATATAGACATATGTGTAGATACAGCATGTTCACAACTGATCAGTTTACATCTCCTTGTCTTTGAATGCTTTTTGTTTTTAAGCTTTCATTCCTCTGTGGTTTTTATGAAAATATAACAGTATTTGTATCAAAAGTCTAGTTAGGTCACTATTTTATTTTCAACAGCAGTGGATATCAAATGCCTGTAGATACATGTCAGAACAAGATAAGCCGACTGTAATGCAGTCACCCAGCCTCCAGTGGGTTCTGGTTCAGGAGCTTTCTGAGACAAACGTGACATGTTTGTGTTGAATAGCCCTGATGTTTTTGAGGTTGGTTTGTATTTGTGGCTGGTTTGCTCGTTTGTTTGTTTATTTGGTTGGGTTTTGTTTGTCTTTTTATTCTTTCCCTTCCCATATGAAGGTCTAAACACTTTCTGAATCCATATGAGCTTTTAGCATCCATGATGCTATGTGACAATTAGTTTCACAGCATTACTTTGTGGTGTATAAGGAAGTTCCTCCCTTTGTTTTGAAGCTTGCTACCAAACGGTTTCTTTGATCATAATTCTTTTATGAAAGGCACTGAAAATTATTTACTGATTGTCTTCTCTGTGCAACTCATAATGGAGGTATCATACCCCCTTAATAATTTTTAATTGAGTCTGAATTATTCTGATTTCTCTAATTGTTGCTGATAAGAGAGCAGTTTATTCCTGTTGGCCATTTTGCAGATCTGTTATATCCTTTTGGAGATGTGGAAAGCAGAAGTCTTCATAAGATTCTAAAATTGAGTGCTATACATTAAATGGTGAGGTCATTCAGACAGGGAAAGCACTTGCTTTAGGCTGCATATGCCTATGTGGCTTATAGAAAATCTTACTTCATTTTTTGGTTGATATTGTGAGGATTAATGCAGTTTCTGTGAAAATCTGCTCTCAAACAACTTAGGAGGCAGACATTCTTGTCCATAGAATGCTGTTACTGTTTTTTAGTCATGAGCTGAGATTTGTAATGTTATTGAAAATAGAATTTAATTCTTGGCTTTGCTTAAAAACTTTTTCAGTATCCTACAGTTTCCTTTAATTCAACAGGAAGCCTAGGAAAGCCTAGTCTAGTAGGCCAGCAGCATGTATCTATGTATACAAATATAACTTTCCTAGTTACGTGTTGTATAATACAATTTTGTCCCATTTGTTGCTGGAAAATATTCTTTATTATTGTCTTTCACTGGATTTGTGCTAGCAAAATGGTAGCATTTTATTTTAGACGTAAGTCATGTCTAAAATCATCTATGTTATCTGAGAAGTTGATGCCCTGTGATTTAAGAGCCTTGCTGTGAAGATAAAAATCTGGACTTGAACTTACGACTAATCATGTACGTTCTTAAGTTTATCGTGCCTAATACATATATACATGATAAACAATCTTGTGTATCTGTAATAAAATCTTCAGAAGGCAATACTGAAGGCTGATCTTTTATCTGGTGAGCAATCAATCCTGTAGATGGTGCTCTGGAGTTTGTCTTTATCTCTAAATGGCTCTAAAGCCATTTTTCATTTGTGCAGCCTAAAGAAAAGTGAGGAACTCTAGTTGTATTTTGTCTTTACACTCTTCAATACCTGGTACATTCACATGAACTAGAAAAATTAAATAGAGCTTTATGATTCTTGTTGATACACCCCCCCCCCCCCCCCATGTTGTTAATAGCTAGGTCAAACAAATCTACAAAGCAGTTGGTAGCTGTGGTAATTCAAAATCAGGATAATAATAATAAGAAGAAATAATAGGTTTTCTAAGGTTTCTAAGACTGTGGTGCTGAATCTGAATTAAAAAACAAACCCCAGTTTTTAAAGAAGTATAAAGGGGTCACAAGTGAGTTCCCATGCTAATGAAGTGGTGAGAGCAGATGCATACAAATGTGAAGCTGATCCCATGACAGGGGGGTTGGAACTAGATGATCGTAAGGTCCTTTCCAACCCAAACCATTCTATGATTCGAAAGTAAACCAAAATGAAACACCAAACCAAACCGAAACAAAAACCCAGCCGAAAACAAAACTACTTTTAAGTTTCATGAAGCTACAGTATCATGTTGTCATTTCTCATTATCCAGAACCACTGAGTGTTACAATTCTTTAAAATTAATTAAATTTAATTAAAAAAAGTCTACAGCACGTACTTGGTGCGAATTTGTAATTTTTTTCACTACTATAGCTGCATTGGCAAGCATTATATTATTTTTAAAGTAATTCTTGAGGTTCTCTCAAAATACCGTGACTGATGGAATTCTAGGAGGATGTTGTGAGTCAAGCCCAGCCGGTAACTCAGAACCACACAGCCACTCGCTCACTCCACCTTCTTCCTCCCCCCACTCCCAGAGGGATGGGGAGGAGAATTGGAGGAATGTAAATCCCATGGACTGAGATAACAGCACTCCAGTAACTAAGGTATAATACAAACCACTACTGCTACCAATAATAATTGTAAGGGAAATAACAAGGGGAGAGGACACAACCGCTCACCACCCACCGACCGATACCCAGCCCAACCCGAGCAGCGATCTGGGCCTTCCGGGTAACTCCCCCCAGTTTCTATACTGGGCATGACGTGCTGTGGTATGGAATAGCCCTTTGGCCAGTTTGGGTCAGGTGTCCTGCCTCTGCTTCCTCCTGGCTTCCCCTCCTCCCTGGCAGAGCACGAGACTGAGAAAGTCCTTGGTCAGAGTAAACATTACTGAGCAACAACTAAAAACATCAGTGTTATCAGCGTTGTTCCCAGACTGAAAGTCAAAACCACAGCACTGCACCAGCTACTAAGAAGGAGAAAAAATGACTGCTGTAGCTGAACCCAGGACAGAGGAATATCTAAAGTATGAAGACTTGAAATAAAATTTGCCACACTACCAGTTTAGCAGAGAGATTAACCAAAATCTGATTGTTGGAATCTGTGGTGTACTCTTAGATTTCTGTGAAGTAAACAGGGTGTTTCATGAAAAGTTCTATGGCTATTTGAGGATTTTTTTTCAGAATGATATTTGAGGTACGGTGCTTGGTGATATGCAAGAGGTGATGTGCTATTAAAGACTGCTTGCATTTATGCTGTTTGTGAGTTTTGTTTGTTTTTTGTTTGTTTGTTTGTTCTGGTTTGGCCCCCCCCCCCCCAAAAAAAAAAAAGTAGTTTTAAATTGAGTTATAGAAGAGAACAGTTCTCTGATGTTCATGACCACAACCCACTTTCTTTCATCTTATTTTAAGGATTTCTACCTGTATGCAGTCTGGGCCCATCTCAAGTGGGAAGAATGAACTTTGGAAAAGATGTCAGCACTCTAAAATATTTCACTATCTGTGGCTTACAGGAAGGGTATGAACCCTTTGCTGTTAATACAAACAGAGACATCACCATTTGGCTGAGTAAAAGGCTCCCTCAGTTTCTACCAGTGCCACAAAATCATGAACATATTGAGGTTTGTGATCCTATTAAAATGTTTCTAGGCACTTCTTCCATGAATATGTTTGAATTATATTTCTACTTTTGCAGTTCTAGACAAAATTTTTAATGAGATATACTGGCCCAGTTCTGGATGAACCTTGCACCTGTTACCGATTTCTTACATTGATGGAGTTGATAGTATTTCTTTTACCATGAAATCTGTTGTGTCTGAACATGAGATTCTCAGAGACAAATTCTACAAGATGTCCTCATTAAGAGATCCTTGTTCAGTGAGATCAATGTTTGTAAACAGCTTCTGGAAATGAGGCATTTCTGCATAAGAGATACCATGTGTTCCGGAGTGATTTTTCCATAACTAATTGGTTTGGATATTAATAAATATTTGTTAGCCAATCATGTCAACATTTATGTCCCAATCAGTTGTGCATCTTGAAGGAACTGAATTCATCATTCAGTCTACCATGAAATCCTCCTGAAATTGAAAGAGCTCTTTTTCAGCTGATGTGTATTACACTTGTAGTATTTAAGAGGTAATTTGTGTTCTTGCATATGTACATGTATGATTTATATTGGTTGGTTTGTATTGTTCTAGGCAGGCCTGGATTTATGTTGCTGAGAGTTATGATGTGAGTGTTTTTTTTATTTAACAACAGAAATATACAGTCCTTATAGTAATAATGTAGTATTATTTTCACTTAAAATGGCAGCACATGATAGCAATACATTTGATTGTTGAAGCATATTTTTTCAAGTTTTGTCAGTCATTGATGCTTATTGTAGAAATAGAAGTTGAATATTTAAAAAGGGGGAAGAAAAAGCATCAGCTTCAAAACAACTACATCTTTACGTTTGGTAGGTAACGAGAATTGATGGCACCATAGACAGCTGCCCCTGCCTGAAGGTCACACAGAAGTCCTTTGGTTCACAGAACAGTAAAACAGACGTCATGTTTTTTCGATTAAGCATGCCCATTGAATGTGCTGAAGTGTTCTCCAGATCAGCTGCAGGAGGGTTACCAGGCACTGGTCTTTTTGGCCCGAAGAATGACTTGGAGGATTACGATGCTGATTCTGATTTTGAGGTTCTAATGAAAACTGCTCATGGTCATCTAGCTCCTGATCGGACAGAAAGAGAAAAAGATGCCACAAAGCCAGAGTTAAACAACCATAAAGATTATGTTCAGGAAAAGCCTTCACGTCTTAAACAAAGGTTAGTAGTACATTTGGCTTGCTATTTTGTGTTGTGTTCCCTCCCAGCCCACCTTTTTTTCTTTTTTTTTTTTCCTTTTCTTCCCCC